GCATTATACACCTGTCTAAGTCAGATAAGTAGCTATGTTATATAAATATAATCCAACGATTTCACATTCGACCATGACTGTTCTTTCCAGTATTCAGTAATTTGGAATCCGACCTGCAGTTTCACGGTTTTTAAGTTTCCAAACAACAAAGTCACCTTCTATTTAAAGGAATCATATATATACCTTCAGGCATCTAAGAATGTACCATAAGTAGCTCGTAAAATTGTGTAACGGATATGGACCACGTTGCTTCATAGGACATAATCAAATGGATACGGGGTTACGTGGACAAATAGTCCACAATTTTAAATATTTTCAAAATGCACACTTTTAGACCAAGAGATACAATGTCTTAGAATAGAAATTCGAAGAAAACGTAAACTGCTACAAAATGGGTACAAGAACGGGCAGTTTATACAGACTTCCTATAAAATATGTTTGAAATTATAGTAGAACCTAAATTCAATGGAAACAAAGCATACTACTTACGCAGACCCTTTTAGGTATATTGACATATGCAGGGGACTAAAATGTGCGTATAAAAACCTCGGCAGCTGAATGTCTTGGGACTATACTGCAAGTTACTCAACAATATAAAACCAATTAAGTAATCTTTTCTAATTGGCGTCATACTTCAGAAGTTTAGTTAAAGTTTCACGAGATACGTCACCTACTGCTGTTTGCAAAGGGAGCGGAAATAAGTATACAAGAAATTGCGTAATGCGGTACTTCAAAGATCCCACAACTGGCTAAAACAGCAACTCAAGACTGGGACCCACCGGTACAACATAGACCGCAGAATTTCTGTTGTCATTATAAGAAGGGTGGATTCCGGGTTGATTGTGATGTCTCCGGTCATTAAACCGACGTCCTTGAACTCTGCGGTGAACTCCCGGAACTTCTGATTGCTAAGGGCCTTGATGGGGGTCGTGTAGATAACACGCTGTTTGGCGGCTAGACCCAGAGCGATTGCGTATTCAGCCACGACGGTCTTCCCTGCAGAAGTGTGTGCAGACACCAGGACTGACTGCTTGTTCTCGATAGCGAGAATAGACTGTCTCTGGAAGGGATCTAATTTGAAGGAATAGGTCTTTGCTGGTGTGTCTGACATAGGTCCAAGAGGTTTGAAAGTGGTGCCGGGAGGTATAACGACCTTAAGTGAGAGTAAAATGGCCGCGAAGAAGCGTCAAACAAACCTCATGAATGCAACCCTCCGCGGGTATTGTAATGGTTTTCATTTTTGGTAACTTAAAGCGCGATTTGCGCACTTTTGGCAGGGAGGTTAAAGAACCCAATTCGATGGCGGGTCGCTTTGGAGTGTCTGAAAGTCTGAAAAGTTTGAATAGGTTATCTGAAATGGTGAATTACCCAGAATCGAAGCAACTTTTCTTCTCAGGCGCCTGAAACGCCGCCTCCAAATCATCCAGCTGAAGACCAAACATGGCTTCTAATCAGTGAAGATAAAAAAGGGCGAAAGTCGTAAGCTGGAGCAGAGAATGAATAATTCAAGGTCATGTGGAGAAAGATCCGTTGAATTATATATTGGTTTGGGAAGACTAAATTGAATAGATCCGTAAAAAAATCAAAAAATAAGCAATTTTGAATATTTTAGGGAAGCACGAGGCCACAAGAAGAAAGTTTAAAACTCATTTTATTTGAAACACCACTATTTACGGAAGAGAAGGAGACATTGTTAGGCAGAGCTGAGTGACCGCTAGATATGGAAACGGGGTGCTGTCACTGCTGCTCTTAACCACTCCAAAGTGTACAGAGCATATCTGGGAGACTCCTGGCATAAGGGATAGAACTTTGTCCGAGTCTTAGCCCACGATTTTATTTCCTCTGGATGATTCTCATCAAAAATAACTATTATAAAGGTCACACCCTTTCATTTACGCTTGAAAAAGACCAATTTTGGGAGGTTGAGGGGTGGTAGGTGTCGTGATTGGGATATAGTCGAGTTATTCAGTACGCAACAGCCGAACAGT